AGAGACAGAGAAATTACCCCAAATGCAGTACTGAGACTAGTCCTGCAGAGAATAGAAATGAGACAAATAGATACTGAAGATAGGATTGAAACCAGAGCTTCTCCCTCCTACTGGCAGGTGGGTTCTGCGTAAGCTGCAGGCCTCTGCAGTCAGGAAAGCCTGTGTCTGGATTTGCTAGGCCGCCTTAGCAGCTAACCAAGGCAGGGGATGCCTGCCTGCCCCAGCTCTGAGGCTGTAGCTGGCAAAGGCCAACTCTCCTCCCGACCACAGGGTAACATGCTGCAGCCCCTGAGGGTGGGCTGTGCCCCCTCTGTGTTACAACAGACCTCAACAACTCACTGGCAACTTCTTTCTGGGTTCCAGTCTCACAAATTCGAAGAATCAAATTTATAGAGTAGGAAGGGTGAGTAAAACAGTAGAGTCTAGTCACATGGGAAGAAGAGAGACAGCTCTCCTAGGGCAAGAGGGTCCTAAGGGCTGCGGGCTGAGTGCGCTAGCCTGGGGTTTACAGCAGGGCTCAGCACTTGGTTAGTTCTTAAGCCTGAATTTTCAGGCCTGCCCCACCTCTCAACGCTCATCAGGATGCAGGAGGTTGAGGTTGGTGGACTGCAGATGCCGGGAGAATCAGGGCTAACCCTAGGTCTGGGCTGGGCCACTGCGGTGCACCAGGTTGGCTACCCTGGGTTGCCTTGGCCTGGCTCCCTGCAGCCTTTTCCTTTTCTCACTCATGCCCCAGCCTGCCCTGGCTGCTCTCCACGGCTCTGGCTCCGCCATGGCTTCTTGGTGGGGAGTAGCAGGCCGGGTGTGTGGCTCAGCAGCTGGGAGGTGGGTCAGAATGAGTAAGGGAAAAGCTTGCACATGCCTGACCAGACTTTTAGTAAGAAAAAAAAAAAAATAGAGCAAATGATATAGAGGCAAGAACTGAGGAAGCCATGACTGAAGACTTTTCCAGAACTAATGAAAGACACAGTCTTCAGATGAGGGCAGAAAGCAGTTCACAGGCAGGAAGTGAGAAGACGAATCTCACAACAGAGGCTGGGGTGGGGCTCAGTGGTGAGCGCCTGCCTAGCACATGTGAGGCCCTGGGTTCCATCCTCATAAAAATAAATAAGTAAGATGAAGGTCCGTTAACATCTGAAAAATAATAAAAAAAGAAAAGACCTTCGAGGCAGCCGGAGGAAGGAGACAAGCAGAGAAGCAGCAGCCAAACAAGGGCTCCTGGGAGAGGGGAGATAGTGTCTGCAGTGTCCGGGGAGGAAATGGCTGTCGGCTCAGCTTGTACAATAAAGGAGTCATCTTTAAGACCGAGGGCACAGAGAGGGGTACAAGTGGGTAGGAAGCAGGAGCTGGGCAGCTGCAGCCCCAGGGAAGGGGCTGCCTGTGCTCCACCTCTGCCGGTGCTGTCGCGGCCTCTCAGCATCCTGGGCTTCCAGGTCGTCAGAGCTCCCAAGCAAACCCAGGAGTTGGAATCTGGGGGTGAATTTGCCCAGTTTCTAAATGTTTCAACACAAAAAAAAATTAAAAATTCAACTTCAAGGAAAATGAACACTGTGTAGGTGCAACAGAACTTCCCTGAGGGCCCGTGACTTCTGCAGGGCTAAGGGGGACCATGTGGGAACCCTGGCGGGTGGAGAGAAGTTCAGCTGGAAAGGTCTGCCCCAGATGTCCTCTGCAGGCACTAGCTTGCTGAAGTGTCCAGGCAGGCCGTGGTGTAAACTCCAGGAAGCTCTCATGGTCCCACCTGGGAAGCTGGAGGCCCTGTGATCAAGACCCTGCCTGGCTGGGGTGACTGAGGCATCTCTGGACCAGAGTAGCAGGTATCCAGTGCCAGGCATGAAAGTAAACAGTAACGAGACACCAATCATGGGCCGGAAGCAGGCCCCCTGATTGGTGGCACTTCTAAAGCTAGAGGCCAACATCAGTCATCCGGTCCACCAGGTAGAACTGGCTTTAGAAGTAAGAACACTCTGATGCTGATCACATGGCAGCTGGGTCACCCTGTGCCTGGCAGAGCTCCATGAAAGAGAGGGTGTCCTCAGGCTCCTTTGCCTGCACACCCGCCCTCTGGTATTTGGACATGCAGTGAGAGGCCCTGGAGGAGACCCACGGGGTCTGTTGCTGTGGCCACCAGCCTCCGGGCCCCTCGGTGGTGCCTCATCCTCTCCCGGCTAGAGTTCAAGTCCAGGAGTGCTAATGGCTCTGCGGTGGCTGTTGCTGCATACTCCTGTGTTTCCTGTCCCTGTAGGCTCCCTCAGGCCACTCTCTACAAACAGGCCCTTCCGTAAGCCCTCCTTGACGTCCCCATTCAGGCCACCTGCTTTCTGCTGGGAAGAGTGCAATATCAAACACCACAGAGGCCGTCGCACTCTCCCTCCCCAAGACCCAGCCAGGACAGCAGGGCTGGCAGCGGCCACCCTGGTTCCATGCACTTCTCAGTGTGGACACTGTCCCTCACAGTTCTGGTGACCAGGCCCAGGGGTCCAGGATGGCCAAGTCCTCTTACCAATCCTTCTCCTTCACATTCCCATCCCATCCTGATCAGTGTTCTGCTGGGCCCTGGTTGTAACTGTGACAGGGATCCTCTCCCCTCCCGATGACTACTTAGCCCTGGCTTCAAGTGCACCTGCTGCCTTCCACCAGCACCCTGCGCGCTGCTCTGCTCACAGTGGATTCTGTTTCCCATCCCAGCTCCACCGAGCCCCACTCTGGGAGGCCCTCAGCATGCGGTGGGTTCCTGAGCACGAAAAGCGCTTTGTGGGTCACACGTGGGCATTTGGCCCTAATTCTTAATGATATTTATTTTTAAATATAGTAGGTGCTGGAGACATGGTATGGGTCAAAGGTAGGCAAGGGTGGGACTTCCCCGTCTGTGGCAAGGCCAGAGGAGGAGTGGCCATGTCTTCATCCTGGGTCTGCAGCTGAAGTCATTGGATGGGCAGCCTTGGACCTGCTAGTGACCAGCAGGGCATGCAAAGGGGGACATGGGCGTGCATGGCATAGGAGCACGTGGGAAAGCTCAGGGTCCTCCTTGGGTGCCCAAAGAGTCCCAGCTCCAGAGAGCACTTTGGCCTTCTCTAGAGTTAAAGAGAGTCATACTGGTCTCCATTTCTAGGTCAAAGTCCCCCCAAGTTATAAACTGTCCCTTCCCCTGGCATCTTCCTCTGTACATGGATCTCCCAGGGGTCCTTGAAGAAGGATGGCTTTGCCTCAATTCCAGCTCATCTGGGATCTAGGTATTTGAATCAGAATTTTTGGCCAATTTTTGGTCTTTCAGGCCCAGTTCCTGTGAGCTGCTGTCTAGAGTCTGGCTGGGGAGGGAGCCTCATCTGTGCACAGCATCCAGCTCTGTACCACAGGCAGTCTCTCACGTGCACCAGGTGGCCGCCACTCCAAGATGTCAGCTCCCACCTCCCAACTCAGAGGGACCTCGGCTCTGAGTGAGGATGCTGCAGGAGGGGCTGCTCCAGAGTGACCTGCCTCTAACACAGAGACTCAGTCCTGACAGCGGCCCAGCTGGCATCCCAGGACAGGGGAGAGAATGAGGGAGTGGTGGCTGAGGGGCCCGGGTGGGGCTACTGCTCACTGCTCCACTTCACATCTCACCCCGCGCTGAGGGAGGAGCTGTGGCTATGGGGAGATACGGGGAGATTGTGTCCAGCCAGCAGGTGGCGAGGGGCCCAGGAGTTCCCTGACCCAGGCCCTCTGGGCACTCTCTGCACCCCAAACCTCTCAGCAGCGGCCCCACGTTCACCCTGGGAGGGGTGCCAGTCTAGAGGTCAGGGGCCCTGGGTTCAGGTCCACGCCATCTGCCTGTTCTTCTGCAAGCCCCTGACCTCGACCCTCAGCTGACAGAGGGACAAGGTGCTTCTATTGGGCTTTTGGCCTTAATGCGGGGATGGAGATGAGTGCCAAGGTCCTCAGGTTACTCTAAAGTGCCGTCCATAGTATTAGTCCTTGTCCTGGAATCCCTGCCTTCCTTTGGGTCTTGTGCATGAACAAGGTGTGCGTGGCCAGTAACGGGCTTCTTGCTCCATTTTCTGGACAGCTATCTGCACTAGAAACCAAGGCCTTTATTCAGAGTTAGGCAATAGACCCCAAATTTGCAGACCCAAAGTGTGCCATAGGCAGGTGGCTGATTCCTGCACTGGACACTTTGCTGGCCTGACATCTCTGTCGTAAGGGGAAGGGCCTCTTGGCATTGTGCCAGGGAAGTCCTCCTGCTGAAGGCTGAATGGAGGAGTGTCCAAGGACAAGCCCCTGGCCAGAACCCTCCAGTAGCTCCTTCCCTGTGCACAACTGAGCCTGGGGCAGGGAAGGGGACTGAAAGCCCCCGGGGTGGGGAGGGAAGAGGACTCTTTCCTGGCCCTCAATGAGGGCCTGCTGAGAGTGGCAGTAGACTTGACTGTGCCTCCTTCTAGGATGATGGCCTCTGGCCCCATAGTCTGGCTGCTGTCCTTCGCTCCCGCCTGCCATCGGAGCTCTTGTCTCTCAACCAAAGGGCTTAACCTTGGGGCTGGAGCACTCCCACCCCCTGGCCTCCCACGGCCTCTGCACCCTGTAAACAGACACTCATTTGTTTTTGCTTTTTTAACAAGGTGTTTTTTCTCCTTTGAGATTATAATGAACATGGTCACACCACAAGTAAAGTCAGAAGTAGGACAGAGAACGCTCCAAAGGCTGGTTTGGTCATCCGAGATCATTAAAAATGGCTGACCCCTAACAATATGTACAAAAATATAAAATGTAAATAAAAAATACAAACAAATTTTCCTTTTTTAAAGTACTTTTAAGAAAAAAAGCAGGGCGTTGGAAGTTTTGGGTTTTTTTCCTCCCCTGTTGCAAATTCACATTGTGGTTTTGGTTGGGTGGTGAAGAGCACACGTCATCTGCGAGTGGCACTGCCCGTGGTGGGCGGGTGGATGGGCCTCTCTACTCGAAGGTGACCACGTTTAGATTCTGAGATGGGAAGCGGAGGGTGAATAGGTCATGGTGGCCTTTTATTTTTAGTTTAACTTTTCCCTTTTTTGCTGTCTAGTCATCCTCATTGGTCTTCTGCTTCTTGGTATCAACATCATCATCCTCATCATCTTCAGCTGCCCGTTTGCCTGTAGCTGCCTCAGCCTCCTCATCTTCATCTCCATCCTCTTCCTCACTATCACCTTCCTCCTCCTCCTCCTCTTCCTCACCACCCTCTTCCTCTTCTTCATCTACCTCATTGTCAGCCTCCTGCTCCCCATTTTCCTCATTAGCACTCCCATTAGCAGGGGCGTCTCTTCCATTCGCTGCCTCCTCCACAACTTCCTTCTTCTCCTTTAAGTCCTTGGTGGTGATTTCAGAGCTAGTGTCCACGGCCGTGTCTGACATGGTGGGGCATGCCGGTGATCCAATGCAGTGGGTTAAAAAGGAAACTAGAGTTCAGGGACTCTGGTGATAAAGCTGCCGGAGTCCGCGACAGAGGAGGAGGTGCGAGGCGGAGGTGGTTGCAGCGAGTGGGGAGCTGGACCCAGGAACAATGCAAAGATGGCTTTTCAGAGGAGCCAGTCGTGGGGTAGTCTTGTTGGGCACCATGCCCTATTCTGGGAGTCGCCTCACTCAGGTGGCTGGTGTCGATGTCACCTCTGGTGGCTGTCACTCTGAGTGGCTGCCTGGCTGTGTTGCGGAGGTGAGGAGGAAGGCTGCGCCGGAGGTGGAGCAGCCGAGGACCAGAGGCCCTATGCCTGCACTGCCAAGCTCAGAGAGGCCGGGCTGAGGGCCGCACTGCTCCCCGGCTCTCACAGGTACAGAGGGGGCCGCCCCCCTGACTGGGAAGAACCCCACCCCTGGGTGCTGAGATGCTCCCCTGGAACTGTGGGGACAGGAGTGCAGGTGTGTGATCTGAGCCTCACTGGCATTTTGAAACTAGATGGAGTCACGTGACTGGAATCCCAACGGCCAAGGCATCTGGGTGGTACCAGGGCCTGGAGCACACCATGTCTAAGAGGCCACACGGTGCAGCCAGTGGGTGGCCCTGGTGCCCACCTACCTGCGGCCCACTTTGTCAGAACACAAGATCCTGTGGGTGACACTGTTGGACAGGGTTTCACAAGAGCAACTACACTGTCCAGCATGTGTGTGGCCTTTGCAGTGTCCCTCTTTCTTCTGAGGCCCTGGTTGCCTGCAGCCTCTGCCTCCCCACTTTCTTGGCTTCCATCCCCAGCACCTTGGGTCACCTTTAAGAGGATGAAGCAAAACCTCTCCCGCTGTCTTCCCCTGTCTCCCTCCTGCCCTCTGCCCAAACTCTGTGAACACAGGGAGTCGTCTCTTCCCCTCTGAAAGCCGGGAGAGTCTCCTGCTGCACATGTTGGGCTGGAGTTGAAGACTGACTTCTTCCATGCTGAAGAGAACGAGGCTGTCTACATGGAAAGGGCGCCTTGGAAAAGCTTGTCTGAGTCCTGAATCAGACCATGGGTCACCCCCACTCACTAGTAGGCAATCACAGACTCGTTTATCCCAACCTTGATTTTAAACCTGATACACTCTAGTGACACACCAGCCTTCACATAATGCTGTCCAGGTTCATAGGTCACAGAAAGATCAAGAAGGATTATGATGGCCACAGAGCTATACAGCACTCTGAGCCCGAGCAAGGCAGGAGCAGAGTCACGGTGAGTGGCACTTTCAGTTGCAGAGTGTCAGCTTGGTGTGTCTACACAGGGTGTCAGGTTGGAGTGGGCCCTGTGTGGTCGCTATGGCAGGAGAACCTGTGCTCTGCTGCCTCCTGATAGGACAGGAAAGGGGAGATTTGTCCCCACAGCAGTTTTCCTGGAGAAGGTTCATGATGAGTGACCAGGTGCTGGGGTCAGGGTGCTGCCGTGCCCAGGCTTGGGGGCTCCTCCTTTTACGGGTCTTAGGTGGTGTTGATAAGCCTCCCTGTCTGGTGTTCCTGATATCATCTGGAATGTCCCCAAGTCCAGGTGATCCTGAATCAGTTTGATAAGTTGGTACACGTAAGTCATTGAACAGTTTGTTCCTTAAAGCTGTCCTTAGGAAATGGTGGTTTTTTTGTACAAAGAGTAGTCCTACATTGAGGCTTGCATTTAAAATGGACTAGTTTATGGCAAACCTCTGCTTTACAAAATGGGGAACTCAGGGTTAGGCAGAGTTGGAAAAATGCTTTTTTATATACCTTGGAGTAATTTAGGAGTATGGAGCAAAGCCTTGAGAGCTGCTGTTCTCCCCACCAAGGAGTCACTCAGGGTGGGCACGGCCTGAGGACTGCTGTCCTATACACCATGGAGTCA